AATTAAATGCTTTGTTGATGTTCTAAGTGGAAATGTTTTAACACATCCTCTGCAGAGAACACATTAAAAATATGATTTTATCAAAACAAACCTTTCTTGCCTGCAAAAAAAGTTCATGCACTATATTAATGATGAACGCTGAATTTATATATTCATGCTTGAAAACTTACTTTTGTCTCTAATACATGGCACTGAATGGCCTGAATTCTTTTCATGGTCACATCCACACAATACAATACTGAATACATAATAAAAATACATCAATACATCAATTATGCAGCGAATATCATTCATTTGTTTTGAAATATATTCTGTAGCCTTTGTAGTCTGTATATATGTTGAATATACATGACACAAACCCTTTAGACTCAGCTGGAGCTTTGCTCTGATGACAACAATCATTGTTACATATATGTATACATTTTAAGGTCAATTCTGAGAGCGATGTTACGTTAAGAAATAGAGTTAAAAAACACAAAAAACATACTAATTGCATTTGATACCTTACACAATAAAATAGTTCATAAATATAAACAATTTCTTCCAGCAGGATATTAACACTGAATGGTTCTTCTACTTGATGCATCACTAGTGTGTTAAAAGGGTCACACCATTAGAATTAGCCGTCTCCAGCTCCACTCACTGACTCACTTACTTTTATGTCCTTTATGTGCCCAAGTTGTGAATTATATTTTATAATTGACTATGAAAAATGAATTAGAAACCCTTTGGCACTATGAGACTAAACTGAGAGCAGATGTGGCTGATTTGTGAAGCCACTGCTGTTAATGTATTGGGTCATGTTTTATAATACGGTTTTGTAGCTAACAGGTAACGGCATGAATGAATAGTGCTGTATTAAAGGGAGATGAAGAGGCAGGATGCAGGCGCAAGTCCATGGTTTTATTGTGATCCATAGCAAAAAAGAAACAACAAAAGTAACTAGAAAGTTGAAGTTCATGAACAAACTTTAGCTTGGCTTGAAAAAAAAACATAACTTAAATTCACTGCCACCTTAAATTTACTGATATGTAACATTTACTATCACCTTAAATTCACTGCCACCTTAAATTCACTGCCACCTTAAAATCACTATTGTTTTACATTCACTGCCACCTTAAATTTAATGCCACCTTTAATTCACTGCCACCTTAAATTCATTGCCACTTTAAATTTAATACCACCTTAAATACACTACCGCATTAAATTCACTGCCACCTTAAATTTAATGCTGCAAAGAATTCAGTGGTACCTTAAATTCAGTGCTACCTTAAATTTAATGCTGCAGTGAATTCAGTGGTACCTTAAATTCAGTGCCACCTTAAATCCAGTGCAACCTTAAATTCATTATTTGTGCTGATATTGCTGTGCATTAGGATGTAAGCGTATCTGTGTGCACTGTGTGTGAGTGTCTGTGTGAGAGATGTGCATTGTGACATCACTTGTGGCAGAACATCCCGAACATCCTGCCATTCATTTCCTATGGGAAAAAATATCGTCTTTGAACGATCATTTTACGAAAACTGAACATTGAATCGCTTAGAAAAGCACAAGCACACTATTCAGGTATGGGACCTACGATCCTGCAAAGTTTTGTGGTTCTACCTCGAAAACTGTGTGACAAGAAACATTTTATTTTTTGAGCATAGAATAACAAGAAGAAGGAGAAGAAGAAGATTACAAAGAACAGTAAGTTCTTTTTCAAGCCAACTTAACAAAACAAAGAAAGAGCGCTAAAGATTGAAATACTTCAACAAAAAAAATAAATAAATAAAATGTCATGAAGGAAACCAGTAAACAACTGGGAAACACAAAACTAAACTCAATACTGATTTATCTCAGAACCACATGTTAGAGGAGTAACTTGTCAGGCCTAAACCAATCAAGCCAGATGTAAGACTCTCATATATCCTTCCTGCAGTGATGCTGTACGCAGATGGGATGTGCGCTGCATGCGGCTCGTTTTGACAGGGCATTTTTAACATCTGCATCAGCGCTGTAGCAACATCCTTGTGGTTTTTTCCCCTATTCGCCTGTGCTTTGCACAAATATCGTGAGTTCCTGTAGCTCACAGCTCTTAATCCTATGACACCAGAACCTGACAGGTGTGGATAATTAATTACTGATCCCCCAACATCACAGGCGATTATGCGTCTGTACTCCAGGGCGAGAGAGCTAACCCAATAAAGCAGACTGCCTCTCGTATTCACAGCTGCAAAGGCGAGTCGAGTCACACTCTCACCCGCTGCCTCTCAGACGAGCGTCTGCGCTGTACATCCATGGCAGCTTTTCATCAGCCCTGTCTGGCACTGTTTCAACCCCAAATTACAGCTCTCCTCATCTGAATAATCTCTTGAAGGCCTTAAATGAGTTCAAGCACACTGCAGGAAAGACATGAGCAATAAACTACTAATATTACTACTACTACTATTAATGTACCATTGTATTCAATCTACACTGTTTATACTGAGATGGAAACAGCACTTGAGCTGTTTGGCAATTTTTTTTCCCCTTACTCCAAATGTAGTCAATCACCCAAGATGTGTTTGGTGTCTGAAGCTTGCTTCTTTAGTTTTGAGCTGGAGTTACAACCAGTGTGCAAAATACCCCTTGGTATTCGGGGGTCCCATGTTGGCTGGCTACTCCAGCATTGGCTGGCTGCTAACTCACCCACCATAGCAGCACTTCAGTGGCAGCAAAATGTTTGGTTTTGGGAATGCTCTTATCTAGTTTGGTATGGTTTGGTTTCCACACTTTAACTGAAATATTACACATTACCTCCAGTGTCTTTGGTTGAAATGAGCAAGAATTCGTGGGAAGCTGGGCAAGTTTTCAGATTTACAAATATGCTATGGCTTTAAGGCTTATGGCTACGTTTTTCAGTTTCCCAGGCATAGTTACAGTTTCTAAGCTATGAAAGGCCAACTGGGTGGACCAGTGGCTATTTGTGTGTAAATTAAATCAACAAAAGGGTGGTCTCTTACTTTTGCACAGTACTGTAGGTCTTGGCTGATTGACTACATTTGTGATAATGGGAAAAACACACAAAGTATTACTTTAAATAGCCACAATGTTACGGTATTGAAAGTACTTACATCTTGATGATTTCTGCGGATTTGCTTACGTTTTATGTTCTAAAATCAAGACCTGTTTAGACCCCAAAACAAGCAAAAGTAAGTGCTATATTAATTACAAAGAAATTATACACTCACTGTCACCTAAAACCTCTTAACTCTTACTACTTGCACTCGCTGTCCACTTTAAGAGCTCCATCTACCTTACAGGTCCACTATACAGCTGGACAACTACAGACTGTAGTTCATCTGTTGCTGCTGATTCCTCACTTAAAAAGTACTCTAAATAATTATTCAAGCTGCAGAATATTCCTCCTTCCACAGGTGAACTTTAACCAAGCAGACATCATAAACTTTCAGATTCTCCGAGTGACTCAGATTCTACAGATTCCAATGGATCGCTTCCAACACAGCCTGTCCAGCCAAATATCACTCAGCGCCGATGACTTATCTCTGTCTGCCTGTTCCAGTATCGTCCCTCTCCATCTCTATTTCCAACCTCTCAGATTAGCTCACTTTCTTCTTGCACGTTCGCTCCCCTTGACTCTCAACAAAGTCTTTGGTCAGTCTCTTTCAAGGTTATTTAAAGGCAGGTAAGTGCTGAGAGATAAAAACACACACACACAACATGGCTGCCAAAAAACATGAAAGACTGGCACAAAAAATAAAAAAATCACACCAACTATAAAGAGAATCCTGAAAGAACAGGGCGTTTATACAAGCATATGCCACAGGTTTTAGATGTGCATATAAAATATGGCACTGAACACGAATAAAGATGATAAATAATCCTTCATTTTGACATTTATACATCCATACCTGCTCTCTCTGCTCCTCAACACTAGGCTATAGTCAGTCATAAGTTTTGTAGTGCGCATCATAATGAATACCTGAGAGAGAGATTTCAAAATAATGAAGACCTGAAAAAGAAATTTTGACATAATTAAGATCTAAAAATGGAACTGATATAATGTTTGATATAACACATCTGAATATGAAATTTCAACACAAACACTGGAAAGAGAAATTTCAATATGTACAAAAACACTAAAATAGAAATTTCCGCATGATAAACACTTGAAATTTTCTCTTAAACACATAATAAACACCTGAAAGAGAATTTTTTATGAAACAAAACACCTGAAAGAGACATTTAAACATAATGAACACCTGAAAGAGAATTTTTTATGAAAAAAAACACCCAAGAAATGTTTGACAAAAACCTGAAATAGAAATTTTATGAAAAAAACAGCTGACACAGATTTTTTTATGAATCAAAACACCTGAAAGAGACATTTAAACATAAGGAACACCTGAAAGAGTGTTAAAATGATAGAGATAAAATGTTATAAAAAAAACACCTGATATTTCTATGAAAAAACACCTGAAAGAGAAGTGTGAAAAAACACCTGAAGGTTTTATGAAAAAAAACACATGAAAAATACATTTTTTGAAAAAAAAAACACCTGAAAATTGTATAAAAAAAAAAACACGTGAAAGAGAAATTAACACATAGTAAACACTTGAAAGAGACGTTAAAATATAATGAACACCTGAAAGAGAAAATAACATAATGAAGAGCTGAAAGAGAAATCTTGATAAAATTAACGCTTGAAAGAGAAATTTCAATGTAATAAACACCTGAAAGAGAAAATTAAACCTAACGAACACCTGTACACTTATGGACGGATAGGTGGGTCTTGGAAGGAGACATTGGAGGAGACAGAAGAGGAAGCCATGACAAATTTATACATAATGAACAGCAGGAAGAGAAATTCACACCTAATGAACAGCTGAAAGAAAAAAATCAGCATAATGAACAGCCGAAAGGGACGACTGTGGCACAGAACTCAATAAAGGGCTTTTCGTCTCTCAGCCGTGTCATCATCTTTGCTCTCTTTCACAAACTCCCACACCTAATGTCACCTTCTCTCTCCGCAGCCTGACAAAAATTACATGTCTGTCGCCCATTTCTCAGCCTCATGCTTCCCCATCTCTCGTTCCTGTTCCCTCTCCACGTTATAATTATCGGACGTTTCCGTCCCTCTCCTCTCGTCTCCCTCTCCTCTTCCTTATCAGCCTGTGGCCTGTTTCTAAGTGCTCTTCTCTCTATATTTATACTGTTGAATAATTGAAGCAGGGACACGGAGGATAATCTCCTCTTTCTCCCTCTCTTTTCATTAACTGTGGGTTTGCTCCTCTCCGGTGCGTTATCTGATCCATCTCGGGCGGCTGGAAAACCCCAGTGTGGGCAGGGCCCGCTCATACAGCCAGAGCAGATATTAAAAGCACAGTGAAACCTTATAACTCTAGATTTTATGAGCATCAGCATCATATAAAGCAAGCAGGGGCCTGGTAAGGGCCTACTGCAACAAGTGGGCAACTCTGAAAATTGAATAAAGACACCTGGAGCCAGTTTCATGGATTAAACTTGGATGAAGGTGCAGTGGCAGTGGTGTTCCAACATTAAAACTCTCATTAGGTCTAGGTTTAGTTTTCTTTGGGGACTATTCTGCCTTATAACACCCTGTATGTACCCCTCTGGCATGAATGCATTTAAAAAAAATGTTTTAAAACTTTCATAAAACTATGATAAAGCAACGTCTCAGGAATCAGGCAGCATATACATAACCATTTTATGTACTAACTTGCTGTGAGGGAGTTTTTTAGCAGTAAACTTTTCACACGTCTGGTTCCTATCACCACCACTGTGAACAATTTGGACTCGGTTGGTTTCTCTGGAACAGAGCCTTCCACACCAAATGACTCTGTTTTCATCTAAGTATTTAATTTAGCAGAAAATCTGAAAAATTGCTGGAATTCCCCTTTAACAACTTCACACGGTTTAGGCGAGTATGTGATGATTTACCCAGGCAGTTTGCACAGTGCTAATTATTGGGGTTTGAGCTTTCATTACTTGTTAGTAGGTGTGGGAAATACAATAATGTTATTGTGATAAATGATATCATATTATGGCATAATGTGTTTTTGAGCGTACTGTGGAGACCATCAGTAGTTAAAGAACCACTGCATGTTTCATGAATGCATGAGAGCATAACTGGTCCTGTTTAGCTGGATTTAGTGCAGCAGTCAGAAACACTGAATGAAATCATTGTGGCACTATTGGTTCTTTTTGTCTGTTCCATCTTATCAAACCAGAAACACAAAGCACTTTGATGCTTATTGTGCAGTGTGACACGACATCAGCCTCATAGCTCAAGTGCAAAACCAAACAAACAACTATTTCTTGGCTGACGGAGTGCATCCATCCATCCATCCGTCTGTCTGTCTGTCTGTCTGTCTGTCTATAAATGTATCTGTCTGTCTATCTATCTATCTCGGCTGTCTGTCTGTCTGTCTGTCTATCTATCTGTTTAGGTTGTCTGTCTATCTGTCTGTCTATCTATCTATCAATCTCGGCTGTCAGTCTGTCCGTCTATCTACCTGTTTAGGTTGTCGGTTGGTCAGTCGGTCTGTCTGTCTATCTATCTCGGCTGTCTGTCTGTCCATCTATCTATCTGTTTAGGCTGTCAGTCTGTCAGTCTGTCTATCTATCTATCTATCTATCTAAGCTGCCTGTCTGTCTATCTATCTAGGCTGTCTGTCTGTCTACCTGTTTAGGTTGTCCGTCGGTCTGTCTGTCCATCTATCTATCTGTTTATGTTGTCTGTCTATCTATCTATCTATCTATCTATCTATCTATCTATTTAAACTGCCTGTCTGTCTATATATCTTTCTATCTAGGCTGTCTGTCTGTCCGTCTATCTATCTACATTGTTAAAAAAACCTTCATTGTAAAATTGTATGGTAAGACCTGTTTTTTGAAAAACATGGTTAAGTTCATGTAAATAAACTGTGAGATCAGTTTTACATTCATATTAAACAGTTAAACATTTCTAAAATATGGAAAATAAAGTGCATTACTGAAACAGTCATGTTCAAATATGTGCAGATTTAAACTAAGTTGAGGATTATAAATAGACAAGATTGAGACAAAACTCAGCCTCACATTTTCCTCTTAAACCTAAAATGTTCTTAGTTCTTAATTATAAAGGCTAAAACTGAAAACATCAGTTAGGAGGATTTAAACAGGAAGACTTTATATAAAGTAAACCATCATCTGATACAATGAATATAATGACTTACTGAATACATACGTTCAGCTTCCTGTAACATCCGGTTTGTCTTGCCTTTGTCTGTCTTTGTTTCTGTCTGTGTCATTGTTTATCTTCCCTCGTGTGTCCCGTCGTGCTTTTATAGTTGTTTTGGCCTCTGTCTCCTCCCTCATCCTGCCTCCTTGTCATCTGTCTCATCTGTGTGTAGTCGGTAGCCCCGCCCCCTTATTAGCCACAGGTGTGTCTGGTTTGTCCCCTGTGTGTTTGTACCCCCCCCCTCCCCCCAAGGCCGTTTCTAGCTATAAGCAGTATAAGCAGTATAAGTCACCAGGGGACCCCTTGATTATTTATTTATTTATGTATTTGTTGGTTTTTGTAAAAAATACAGTCAGTTCAGAAACTTTCTTACAATCTTTTTTTTATCTTTATTCAATCTTACAAAAAAACATGACTGGGGTAGGTGGGATGAGGGAAGCCCCCCAAATAAGATGAGGCTTTGGGACCCCAGATGTTCAGAAATGGCTCTGCTCTGGTTGTTCGTCTTGGTTGCTCGGTGTTTGTTCTGAGGCCCTGTTTTGTGTTTTCACTGTTCTGTGCTGGTTTCAGTCTTGTGTTTTCTTTCTGTTTCAGTGTTTAGATCTTCAGTCGTCTTTTTTCTGTTCTTTGTTGTTACTTTTGTGGATTCTTTTGTTGTGAATTTCAATAAAAACATGGACTTGCATGTGGATCTTGCCTCCTCGGCTCTCCCAACGTTACACTCCCACACTGTCTGTGCTGACTTGTGCATCTCTTCAGGAGGGTCACTCTGGTCCTCTTGCTGAAGTTTCCTCCTCGGCTGGACGGTCTTTTCTCCTCCTGACAGAATTGCGCCGTCTTTGTTTTTTGATGCAAACAGACCTGCCTTCTCATTTTCTGATAACAGTCCTCCTGCTTTCTTGTTTCGTCACACAAACAGACTCTTGGCTCTCTTTGGTCTCTTCAGCATCAGTGTGTCCACCAGGAGCTGGCTGACCATCACATTCAGGAAGGAGATCCTGCTTTGCACCTTCACCCTGAGCAACTGCCGTTGTTTGGCTGTTTTGGCTGAGCGCAGACACCTTGTGAGAAAACCACAGCGTTTCTGAGTGTTTTTCTCCAGAGCCTCAGTGTGTTGGCTGTCCAGCACACACAAGTCAGAGCGAGGCCGGCTATGGGGCTGGTCCTGATCCACTTTCTCCCTTCTGGGCAAACAGTCAGTGCATGTTGACGAGCAGCAGTTGAGGGCATTCCAGGTCTTCCACACCAGACCACGCAGACCACGAAGGCGTACCTTCCTCCGTTTGCTTTGCTGAGTGGGAGGTGGTTGCTCTGCACTGGTGCTGCCATTGTTGTTCTGCTCCTTGTTGGTTTTGCCAACAGCCGTGTTCACTGCAGGGTCAGGCGTCTCCTCAGGTCCAGCTGTGACCTTTGTAGAATCTTCTTTTTGAAGGGTCAATTTGGCAAATTGTTCTCCCAGTTTTCCTCATATGTGTCTCTTTCTCCAGGTGTCTGAGGAGGGTCTTGCTGAAGGGCCTCTTTTTTCCAGGTTGTTCTCTCTTTTCCTTGGGTTGTGCCTCCCTTTCCTTGAAGAACAGTCTGTTTGTTCTGTTTCTCCTGATTTCCTTTTATGTGTCTGTTCATCCAAGAAGATCCAAGTCTGCGTGTCCAGGTAGGAAGGAAGTCAGAGAGCACAATATAGGTGGGCAGTCCAATATAATACGGCAGCACTCTGAGTAGAGGTGGTCTTTCATGCACAGTCCGTATCACCATGAGTGGATGTTTCCCTCTGTGTCCGAGAGCTTTGCGAGGGGTCAGACTGAGCTGGGCGCAGTTTCTTTTTCTTTCTTTTTCTTATTCTTTGTCTCTTTTTCTGGAGCTGGTTTGGGATCTGCCTACTCTTTTGAAGACCTGCTCTTCGACTTGTCTTGGATCCTGTTCTTCTCAGTATCACCTGAAGTCTTAGAGTGGACAGCTTCCTTTTCTTTTGGCTTTTCATCTGAAGTCTTGTCCATGAAAGAATCTCTGGCTGCAGCACCCGAGAGGCCTGTTTCTCATCCATCAGGGCTTTTTAGGGTTCGTGCCTTTGAAAGCAGAACACACACGATCCGCATGAGCAGTATGGCTCGCCTCCATCGCTTGCCTGCAATTCTTCCACGAGCTTCCAGATCCCGTCTCAGCTGGTCAGCAGTGTCCTACAAATTCAAGAGATTAAAGAGTTTAGTGGAATTTGTTCATAAAACACACTTCTACACATTTTAATGCACAATTACTGTTTATGTGCTGAATGTAACATATAAATAAAACATGAGCTGTGCAAAAACTGTGGAACGTTTATATTTTATGGTTAATTTTTTTCCGATATGTTGTTCTCAGCAAATAAACATTGAAATTGTGAAATTGTGCATCAAAATGTGCAGAAACGCCATATGTAAGTGTCTCTGCAGAAGATGTTCACTTATTTTCACTTAGAAAATCAACAAAACGTCTTTTGATCATTGTTATTGTTTTAATTTTTTTAATAATATCATGGCAATTATTATTAGACATTTTAATAATGTATACATACATTAAATCATTAAATAGTAATATTTAACATTATCTTATCTTTATTATACTCTTAGTAAAATGTGTTAGAATATATAAATATTGTTACATTTATACCAATTTATCACTATAATATTATTATTATTGTGTAATATTAATTGCATAATACTAACAGTGATATAACAAATACAACAATAATAATTATCATAATTACTATTACCACTAGTATTTTATTAATGAATTCATCAGTATGTTACAAAATACACTGTAGACATTTTTACTCTGTATAACATTTAATTATGAAATATTGCTATTTCATGTTATACTATTCAAGTTTTTTTGTTTACCTAATACATGAAACTTAATACTGTTTACTTTTTATTAGTAGTATTATTATATACTGCTTATGTATTATCATAAACTCCCTCTTATGCTTTTTGATCCAGTCTTTCTTCAGCAAGGAAATAACTGACT